CATCATGGACACCAAAATCCTTGGATGCTCAAATCCCATATATAAAATGACCTAGTATTTGCATATAACCTACACATATTCTACCATATACTTTAAATCATCTTTAGATTATTTATAATCCAATATAAATGTTATATAAATAGTTGTTATATGGTATTGTTTAGAGAATAATGTTCTGTACAGACACAACTATTGTAGGCCTAACTACATAGAGCACATCAGAAATAAGGTAACATTTCCCCACCCCACCCCCACATCTGAGTACTTCACATTCACAGTTGGTTGAATCCATGGATGCGGAACACACAAATATGGACAGCCAATTATGTTAGGAGGTGGGGCCTTTGAGGGGTGACTAGGGCATGAGGGTGGAGCCCTCATGAATGGGATTAGTGCCCTTATTAAAGAGATCCCACGGAGCCCTTTATCCCCTTCCACCATGTAAGAATATAATGAGAAGTCTGCGGTCTGGAAGAGGGCCTTTGCCAGACCCTGCTGACACCCTATCTTGACCTCTAGCCTCCAGAATTGTGAGAAATAAACTTCTGTTGTTTACAAGTCACTCAGTCTGTGGTATTTTGTTCTAGCGGCCCCAAAAAACTGAGACAGCCACTAAGTTGCTTAGAGCTTTGTCCCAACATGCCAAAGTTGTGTGTTCAATCCCCTGTTGGGACACATACAAGAATAAAATGATTAGAAGGGTACATTTTATATTATGTGTATTTTACCATAATTAAATATAAAAATATTTAATGTAAAAAAGATTAAGATCAAAATCTCCCTGGACTCTACCTCTCAGAGATAATCACTAGTTAATATTTTGCCATGTATTCTTCCAGGGGCAAATATAAATGAATGATATATTTTATAAAAATAGCATACTGTTTGGTAACCTGCTCTTTAGAAATATCTATTTTACCATGTTAATAGATAAACATCTTTATCCTATATTTTTTGTAGCCACATGGTATTCCAAAGTATATAGATATACCGTAATGAACAAGTTTACTATTAGTGGACATTTAGTCTCCATTGTTTTGTTGCAGTGGTTATTATTATAAATAATACTGCAAAGGACATCCCTGTGCACATATTCTTCTGTACTTGTCCAACTATATCCTTAGGGTAAGAAATCCTCCAGGTGGAATTGCTGAGTCAGGGACTCCCTTAGGAAGATTGTCAACAAAAAAACAAAACAAAACAAAAAATGCAGCAGGGATGTTGTATTCTGTCATATTAAAAAAGTCTGTTTCCCCATGTGGACTTATCCTGGATTCCACTTGGGTGTCTATGGCATTGCACAGTGGTTCAGGGAAGGAAGGATTGTCCTTTCCATGAGAAATCATCCCCTCCTCCTCACTCCCCTGCTTCCTCTGGGGACACACCATGCCTGTGGCATGAAGTGAAACTGGTACCCAAGGAAGGAGGAATTTTACTGGGTTAATGCCTCCTGGATCCATGTGCCGCCAGAGAGACTACAGCAAAGTGCTAGGATGGTCCAGTGCTGGGTGTCCTATAGTGGACAAGGTAAGTTGTGGATGCATGAAGGGTTTTATTTTGTTAACGGTTTTGTTCTTGTGTGGACAGGGGGAGAATGCAATGGACTCTTGCTAAAAAGACCAAGGGCTGGACAGGACTAGTGGAGTCATCTAACCCCTTGCCTGGAGATAGGGAAACTGGGGCCCAGAAAGACTCATAGCGTAAACATTTCAAAAATCTTTAAATGAATCCTGAAGTACCTCACATACAGTGAATCAGCCAGCTTAGGGCAGTGTTGAACACACCCCAAATTTTGACACCTAGTATAATTTTTATGCTCTTTCCTGTGTACAAAATTGGAAGTCAAGATCGGAGGTCCCATCGCAGCTCAGACACAACCAGATGTGTGCTCAGGCTGGTTCCTGCTGGCTTCAAGAGCTGACGCAACACAGCTCGTCCCAACTCCCATATTGAGTAATGCCACGTTAGCAGTTTGAAATCTGCCATGGTGGGTATGTTTTCACAGAAGAGACTAGCAAATGCCACAAAACAAGGCCTCTTCCTCCCAGCAGAACCAGCTGTTACACATCACAGGTCACAATCTAGATGTAAAAACCATGAGCAAGTGACCTCAGTTTCCTCACATGACCTGAAGACAGCATTATAAATCCCAACGGTCCATCATAATTTTCACTCCTAAACTCATCACAGTCCCTTCTATACTAATCAGTGAGCCAGCACATGTTTGCCTGAATGCTTTCTGTCTGCCAGGCCCTGGGCTGAGCACACAGGACAATATCCCTGTGAGATCGTTATCATTTCCATCTTACAACTGGGGAAACAGAAACTCAAGAGACATCAAATGACTTTTTAATTATGGACTAAAGCTTCTCTCAGGGTGGTGTCCCCAGAAGCTGACCCTGAGATAAGGGTTCAGGTGCCAGGGAAGGCAGTGGGAGAGTGAACGGGGAAGGGAAGGCAGCCAATGAAAGAAGCCAGGTACCTCTGAGACAGCACGGAACATGCCCCGAAATCACCTCAACAAAGAGGTGAGGGAGCTGAAGTATTTATGCACCTTCTCCCATCAGCCATTGGTTGAAGCCAAAAGAACATGGGGAGGGTGCTGACATTGCTCAATGCCACGCAGCTAGAAAATGGAAGAATACAATTCAAACTCCAAATTCAATACTATTTTCATTACCCTTAAAGAAATGAGCCACTAATCAAACAAACACTTAACTGAGTGCCAGTTCTGGGTAAAGCGCCGTGCTGGTAAAGTAAACCTACTTTGTCAAGTCACTTTGGGTTGACTTGTCCAAGGGGAGCACAGGTATCTTTTTGCCAACTTGCAATAGAAGTATTAAAAAAAGCCCTTCGAAGTTACTTTGCTCATCCCCTGGGAATGAGCCAAACGCCCTTCCTGCCTGCTTCTCGTGTGAGAGACTGTCCCCTCTGGTTCAGCCACAGTCGCCTTGCACAGGCGTTCTGCAGCCTCAAGCTGTCATCCCAAGCAGCTGCATCAACCTGTGATTACAGGCTTTAGAGTCTGCCATCCCAGGGATGACCAAAAATGACCCCCTGGCTGTCCAGCCGGCCAGGTCTGAAGGCCGTCCCTGCTTATCGTGCCCTGCTTTCCTCGTGCCTCCTGCCCTATCCCCTCCCCCTAGACATCCTCCTTGGGAACTTACAAGCAGGCCAAATAGATGAAACCACAATCACAAGTCTGTGGGAGCTCACCCAACCTTAAGGATTTATTTAAAATTCTTCCGAAGAGGCAGGGAGGTGTTTAAATAGGACAGGGTGTCATTGGGGTAAATCACTGGACCCTATTGTGAACAGTGGTGGGAGGGGCCTGCAGTCCTGGTTTTATAAACCCAGCTGTAGGAGTTCTCAGCAACTAGGTCTTAAAGACAGACTGGATGTCTTGTATTATGCCCAGTGCACGGAGGAGAACTGCCCAGTTTTTCGCTCTGGGGGAGAGAAGAAGAAGACGTGGTCAAGTCCCAGAATTGCTCTCGGATCTCCCAGTTTGCATCCCGTCCTCCCCATGGGATTCTCTGGCAATCTGGTCCTGATCCTGCACCCCACCTCGCAGTGAGCACATTTCCTGCTGAAGTATCTTAGAACTGAAAGCCATAATCAAGCCAAGGTCCTCTTGTGCTTTGGCGACAGGACCTTTCTCTGGCAAGTTCCACAGTCCAGCCCTTGGCACTCTGGCAGAGATGCCAAGCTTTGTGGTCCTGGGCATCTCTCTAGTCCATTCTCTCGGCCATTCCTCAGCAGTTCACTCACAGAGAGCAGACACAAAGCTTGGCTCTGGGGCACCAGGAAATAGACCAAGAAATCAAAGCAGAACCAGCGGATGACTGGTAAGTCCCAGTTGGGCCAGTACATCAGACACTGAGGAGGACTGAGGGATGGAAAACAAGGTATAGGGTCGCCTACCACTCCTAACTCCTAAGATAACACAAACTGGAGAGAATGCCTGAACTCCCAAGTAGAAGCCATGCAGAAATGCAGAGGTGAGCTCTGGAGCGCAAGGGCAGAGAGAGACCACCCTCAGGAAGGTGGGGATGCTGCCAGCTGGAGGTGCAGCAGGTGCAGGTGCTGCATATGCCCTGGCCCATTCAGCCAGGGGTAGAAAGTACACTCCCACCCTCCCTAGGAGAAGGGCATGCGTGAGGGCCCCAGGTCCCCTGGCTTCCTCCCAGCCGGGCTCCCCTAAGGTGCTCCTCATCATTCTAACTGATTTCACCAACACATAAACAAGGACAGACGAGCATGGGTCCTGTATGCACTGCACCCCAAAGATTACCCGGTCTCCCCAGTACTCAATCTCTGCTCTCCCATCTTCTGAAGGAGGAGTGGGACTCACCTCCACCCTCCCCAGCACAGGGAAACCCGAACTATACAGTCCAGACTCCTAGGTGTCCCTGCAGGCTGCTTGCTATGCCTCCTTCTCTCAGAGCAAGAACTATCCTCTTTCCAAAACTACCCCACAGCTCTGAACCCAGCCATCATTTGAGGCCCTCTTTATCCACACCTCCCCACCCTGCATCAGCGGGCCTGTCTAGAGGAGAAAGCACAGCCGGTGCCCAGACTCATGGCCCCACTCCAGGGTCTGATCCCAAATGGGCACCTCCCAGGCCAACTCCACACTTAGTCTCTAGGACACAGCATTTGGACACAAGCTAAAGAGATGAACTCTCTTAGAGCAACCCAATGGATCTTAGTCATGAAGTGCCTTTCACTTTTCAGACCGCCACAGAAAAAGTTCCCGGTAAGTAAATGTGGATTGATAAGTAACATAATTCCAACCCCAGATTCCTCATCCAGATGCTCTGGAAAGAGGCCCCTGGCTCTGGCTCACAGGCAGCTGTTTAAAACAATCATTGTTTCTAATTCTTTCCTTCCATTGTACCAAGATCAACTGTGGCAGGAACTGAGTCCCGCTCCAGGACAAATTGTTACTTGTCAGCTTAGGGGTTCAAACATTCATTCATTATATGTAAGGTACTCACTGTAAACTTGGCCACTCTAGACACAGCCTCGGTCCTCTGGGAGAACACGTTCTAGAGACCCGGATTCCGGTCACCTGGGAAGAAAGCGCGCGGCAGCGTTGAGAAGCCTTGTGCTCAGTTCCTCCTGTCACGCAGGTGCAAAGGTACTGTGAGGAACCGAGGACCCAGAGAGCAATTCTGGGCAAGATGGAACCCTCAGTTTCTCTGTCAGGCCACTGCTTCTCTCTGCTGTCCCCAGGGCTCTCCCTGCTTAGAAGCCGAATGCAAAGCAGGCGCTCGAAATACAGAAGTGGCTGGGGTCCGCCCAAGGCACCTGCCGCTCTCGGGCGTAGAGCACAAAAAGCCGAGGTCTCCACCGACCTCAAGCACCAGCCCCGGAGGCGGGCGGGAAGACCGTAAAGGGGAAGTGCCCCGAGGACTAGCCCTGCCCCCGAGTACTCTACGCCCTCATGAAGGCAGAGGGGGCCTGAGTGGGGCCGCGGTTGGGGTGGGGGTGGCTGGAACCCACCTCTAAGGAACTGTCCGTTGGGCAGGGAGGAAAGGACAGGATTGAAGTCTGGGTGGTCACCGGGGCTGTTGGGGTCTGCCATCCCTACACCTGCCGACCTGCTCTACCTCGCCAGGGAGTCCCCGGGACCCCGGGGATGAGGTAGGGGAGTCTTCCAGCCACCGCCCTTGAAGCGGAGAGAAGGCAGAACCCCCAAGGCTCGGGGAGGGAGGACGGGCTCGCAGCCACAACTTTCTCCGGCCGGAAGGCGGGTGGGCTGGGGCTCCAAGCCCACGCAGCCCCTGGAGGGTCCGCATCCCCGCGAACCTCCCGCGACTGGGGTAGAAGGGAGGAGACCAGGGGCAGGCGAGGACTGAGGGGCTGGCCTGGACCGAGCACAGGACTATGCGGGAAAACTTTCGGAGAGGCGGAAGAGGGGCAGGGGAGAGAGGCCCGCCAGGCGCCCTGCACCTTGCGTCCCGCACGCCGCGCCTGCAGCCTTGCCCCGCGCCCCGCGCCCCGCGCCCCGCGCCGCGCGCCGCGCGCCTTGCGCCTTGCCTGCGTTCCGAGACGGCTGCATCTCGCGCGCGTGGCGGAGACCGTGGAGTTGGGAAGAGGGGTGCCCAGTCGGGGGTGGGGAGCTGCTCCAGCCCGCGCCTGGGTCAGCGGTCGGAGGGTCGGGATCAAATCCGAGCGGGCAGGGTTGTGGGCGGCCGGGCGACTGGGGGTCGGACGCCCCGCCCTCCTCGCTCCCCCTCCACCCCTCCTCCCCCTCTTGCCCGCCCCAAAGGCTTTATCTTCCCCTATCCAGTCTGATCGTCCTCCCTCCCCCTCGTTCTCGAGCTCTCCATCTCTCCCCACACCCCTCTTCCCTCGCCTTTCTTCCTCCCCTCCTCTCCCGCCCTCCCCCTCTTTCCCCTCCCCCCGGGGGGGCGGAGCTTCTCCCCTCCCTCCCAGACAATGCTGTGGCTGCGTGTCCCCTACCTCCCCGCCTTTGAGTCAGGGCTCGGGCTGTCAGCGCCTCTCCGGGCTGCGGTGCGTTGGGGGGGGGGGGGGGGGGGGTAGGGGGAGTGAATGCGGAGAGGGGATAAGAGTCCGAGGGTGAGGAGGATGAACTGGCTCCCCTCGCTCCATTCTCTCTGCCCACTCGGGGAAGGATGGAGTCCTGGCCCAAGCACCTCGGCTCGCCCCGCGCTGTGACAGCCATTCCCAGGGAACAGTCACTCTGCCCCGGGGAGCCCTCCTCGAGCGCCCCGAATTTCTCAGGCAGTGGGCGTAGGATGTTTTTCCCCCTCAAAAGCAGGCTTATTCCAAAAACGGGTTGAGCTGAGCAAGAGCTAAGCCAGGCCCCTTCGACTTAGCAGCGGGCTGGCAGACGTGACAGTAATGTGAAGGAGGCTAAGAGTCTTTGTCCACCTCTCACTTCCCCCTCTTATTCACCCCTGGACCTCGAGGGGGCTCTCAGTGAGCACGAAGCCTTAGAGCACCCCAGCTGCGAGCGGGGGCGGGGGTGGGAGTTTATCTGTTCCCTCCCTGTCATCAAAATTCTCCCTTTACATACATACCCCAATTCTGAAAAGCCAGTCCCCAGCCAAAGAGAAGGGGACCTAACAGTAAATGGGTAGCCAACCCCCAGGATACAGCAGGATCAGCTCATCCTTCCAGGAAGCCAAACATTCTTTACTAAATTCATTGTTTGGATCTTGGAATGTGTTTCCCTTAGAAACAATATTATAACATGGAAATAAAGAACAAACTGACAGTGACCAGAGGGGAGGGGGGAAGGAGATACTGGGGAAAGAAGGGGAAGGGGCAAGTCAAGGAACGGTATAAAGGACCCATAGGCATGGACAATGGGGTGGGGATTGATTGTGGAGGGGGAGGGGCAGGGGAGGGCAAAAGGGGCAGGGAGTGGGGCAGCTGTAACTGAACAACAATTTTTAAAAGTTTAAAAAAAAAAAAAAAGAAAATATTATACATGGTGATCTGCTTCCTAGGCCAGTCACAAAAGTCTTTTGAACCCAAAGCAGCTGTAGGATGGTACTGAAAACTGTGTCAGCTACCCAGGAACAAGGAGGCCACTGACCAGCTTTTTCTGTAGAAAAAAAAAATCATCTGGTTCTTTCCCCTAGAGCTATAAACACAAAGCTCTCCCTTGAATTCCCACCTCGAGTCACTACTGTGTATTAGTTAAGCTTCTTTCCTTTGCAGGTAACATGAGCACCCTCAGAGGAATGTATTCTGAGGACATCGAGGTTTCTCTGTAGTCTCAGGGTCACAACTGCAGGAAAAGTTCAGTAAGAGGCAAACCAGAGCCTGGAGGGCTTCCAGTAACACAGGCCAGCTCTTCCCCTACATCACAGACTGGCCTTTCCTAACACCCCAGATACATGACAAAGGCTGGCAATTGCTTCCATCACTGCGCCTTGGAGCTCCCCTGCTGAAGAAAGCAGCCAAGTGAAGCTTGAATTCCTTAGTCTCTAGTCCAGTTTCCCAGAAGAGCAGGTCATTGGCCCAGCTTGGGTCAGATGCCCATCCCATGCCCAATCAACTGGGGCCAGGGACGGGCTTACCTTGTCCAAACAAAACTGCCAGGAACCCTACCCATACTCTCTGCTTAATATAAAGTCCACTCCTCTTCACTTGTACTCTCCATGGTGGTGAATAAATTGATTGATTCGTTTAAGACAACAGAAAACCTCTTTCTTTTCATCAACTTCCTTATACAGGAGTCACAGGAGAGAAAGGGATAGGCCCTTATCCTTCAAGGCAGTATAAGGACAATACAATTGCAACAGGGACAATATTTTGCAAAGTGGTTTATTAAAGCCCCACCCCCTCAAAAGCTGCTTCTTGCAGCCTTCCACCCCCAGGGACTGGATCAGGAGGCAGATGGCCTCAGGGAAGCAGCATACAAGCATTGCCTACACCCAGTCCTTCGATAGAAATGCAGTGCAAACAAACCACAGGTATACTTTATTCTGTGCCACATTACAAGTAGTAAAAACAAATAAATGAAATTAATTTTAATATATTGTATTTAAATCAAAATATCTAAAACATTACCATTTCAATCAGTAAACAATATAAATTATTCATTAGATATTTTATATTCTATTTTTCTACCAAAACTAAAATCAGGTGTGGGTTTACACACATCTCAATTTGGATGTTAAATTTTCATCAAAAATACTTGATCTGTATTTAGGTTTTATTAAAAACTTGAAAAATACATTCACATACCCAAATTGTTCCAAACAACTTGCTTAAAAGTTTCCCAATAATTGAATGGAGTGTTCTTTCATTTAAGTTCTAACTAAGATTACATAAACTTAAAATTCAGTTACACTAGTCACGTTTCAATTGCTCAATAGCCACATAGGGTGGCTAGTGGCGACGCTATTGGCACTGCACAAGCTTTGGGAGCAAGGACGTCACTGATGAGCATGGAGTCCCACAGCCAACTTCCCTTGTCTCTTTAGCAGAACAGTGGCAGGAATGTCAAGCATGGTCAGACAGAAAATGATTTTCCAAATTCCTTTATATCCCCCTATAACATCTCAGGAGGCAGTTTTGCCAGTAGATCTGAGTTCTACTTTATGCCTAAGGAGAAATAAGATATACAGAGAAGAAGTGGGCGCCCAAAGCCCACTCTTCTATTCCCAATGGATTGATTCTAAGAGAAGGGAGGAAGCAGGGGACACAGACAGCCGGAAATGCCACATCTACCCAGCTTCTAACCTTCGACCAAAGTGAGGCTATATATCAAAGGATGAAGGGAGTTCTGGAGGATAGAAGAGAGAAGACTGCCACACCGGCTGCTCTCTCCTGTTCTCAGGTACTAACCAAGGAGAGGGGGCAGCCTCACTTAAATTAATGTAGTGGATCACCATGGCTACACAGAGGGAGGGCCTGGGTTTAGCTTCCTATGGTCACTTCAGGATTCGTGCATAGCCTAGACATGATGCAAAAGTTCCCACTTGCTCCCAATGACCAGGGGCTTCAGAATGAAACTAGACTGTGAAGCACAGACCTTCCATAGGTACCATCTTTGGGTTCCCTCAAAAGCAGAACCTGAGACAAGGACATGGGTGCAGATCATTTACTTAAGAGTTGATTTTAGAAAGCAAGAGACTGAGCCAGGCAAGGAGAAGACGTTAATAAAGGATATGCAACTAGGGCTCCATCCCTCTGGGGACCCTCTAGGGACTCTCTGAGGAACTGTGTAAAATGAGCCTCAGAACTGTGCTCTCTGAAGTTTGTGGAGGCGGGGGGCTTGGGCATTTATCCGCTGACTCATCCCCCACAGGCTAAGGATTACTCCCTGGGAATGCTTTCCTCTTCTGGACATGGAGGCTGGCTGTCTGGACATCTTTGGCCTCAGGGAAACATCTGAAGCAGAAAAGCAGGAGCTGTTGTCATTGGCACTTGAGATGGGACTAGTTAATGTGCGTGGAGCTGCCCTTCACGTCTATGTTGCAAAGAGAATTGGGCTGAGGGGATGAGACAGAGAACACACAGATCATTGGCTCTAGGATCCAGCATGGATTGGACAGGTTGACCCTGGAGGCTAGGTCAAGGGTTGGGAAGAGGACAGGATGGGAACTCAGAAGGAACATTGGTGAGGCCCAAGTCCCAAAGGAGGCTAGGGAGCACTGCAGAACTTCGAAGGAGCGTGGAGCATCCAGACCATGAGGCACACAAGCTGCAGGCATGAGCAACAGGTGCCAGGCAGACCCTCAATAATGGGGCCCTGATCATTCTGCTTTCAAGGGATGGTCTGGAGCAGG